ATCTCTCTTTCTTTTTGTCAGTTTTTTCTCTTTGTTCTCCTTCCATTCTCCTTTTTTGTCAGAACTTCATACAATGTGTGTGTCTGTGTGTGTGTGTGTGTGTGTATGTATGTTTTTGTGTGTTGTGTTGTTTGTGTGTCTGTGTGTGTGTGTGTGTCTGTGTAAATAATTGTTAATATTTCCAATTGTATTCATTGAATTTTTGGATTCTGTTGTATATGTGTGTATAGTTTTCGTTAGATTATTTATTTATTTATTCCTTCATTCATTTATCTGTTGTTCATTCATTTCATAAACGATTTATTCCATTATTCATTGTCTCATTCAGTCACTCACTCATTCATTTGTTCGTTCGTTCGTTCGTTCGTTTGCTTGTTCGTTTGTTCGTTCGTTCGTCCTCTGTTAAGCAAACAGTGATGAATGGATAATGATGAAAGAGTTGCATTGGTTTTACGAATAATAGATTTAGTACAACTGCTCTCTTGATCGTTAACGCAATCTTTCTTCTTAATTTGCTTTCTTGTTTTTATTCGATCATTCATTCATTCAATCATTCATATATTTATCCATTCATTAGTTTATCTATTCATGTAATCGTTCCTATATCTACCCATTGATTCATCCATTCACTTTTGCATTCTTTCATCCATTCATTCATTCATTCGTCCATTCATTCATTCATCTATTCATTCATTCGTTTGTTCGTTCATTTATTAATTCACTCATTAATGTCCTTTGTAGTTCATTGCTCTCTCAAGTGCAAACGTATTCATACACTATATCAATACATACATACGTACGTACGTACATACATACATACATACATACATACATACATACATACATACATACATACATACATACATACATACATACATACATACATACATACATACATAAATACGTAAAGTCTAGAACTTTTAATTTTTTCGTTGACAATTACAATTTTTTGTTTAGTTTTCCATAGAATTTTTAGTCTTATTTAATTGAGACGTGTTATATTTATTATTCTATTGTTTTTGATATTTCATCCATCTATCCGTCTGTCTGTTTTTTAGTGTAAATTATTCATTTGTTTTGTTCGTTCGCTCACTCGTTCGTTCATTTATTTATTTGTTCATTCTGTCGCTCGTTTGTAGTTCATCCAAATTTTCACCTATATATTTTTTATAAACGATTGACATTTGTAAATTTTTTTCTTCATTCGTCCGTTTATTTTTTACTTGCACATTCATTCATTTATTTACTCATTCATTCATGCACTCACTTGTTCATTCATTTATTCACTCACTCACTCACTTACTCACTCACTAAATCTTTGGTATAATAGTCACGAGCAATTAGATGGTTGGTTACATGTCTTCTGACTGTCTGCATGTAGTGTTACATATTTCTTCGATTTGACGTTACATCACTTTGGCATGGTGATGACGATGATGATGTTGGTGATGGCGATGATGTTAGCTAATATGTTAATAATAATAATAATGGTGATGATTGGTTAGATTCAAGCATTTTATTGAAAGTAATAGGATCAGTGATATAATTAGTTCTGATGATGATGAAGATGATGATGGTGATAATTATTAAAATAATAATTATAATGGGAATAATTTATAGTATGCTAATTATTCGTCGAATACGTTCGCTTTGTTTGTTTTTTTTTACAAAGATACAACAACTTTCCCAATTAAACATCTATTTTCTTGGTTTTAAGACCAAATCAATCAACACACACACACACGTTCACACACATCCCTACAAGGTGACATATTTTATCTACACACATACACACACACAAAACATCTTCGTAGCTTTTATCAATTATACCAAACCAATAAACGTTGTTTATGTGCATCGCACGGACACACACAGACAGAAACACACTCCGTCACCCGTACACACGCACACATATTTATACACATATTTATAATTATTCATTTATAATATTTATTTATATCGTGCCTATTTCATTCACTCATTCATTAGGCTTGAAAAATCTGTGATACCAAGGTTGAGGAATATGTCTCTCTCTCTCTCTCTCTCTCTCTCTCTCTTTGTTTTTCTCTCTCTTTGTTTTTCTCTCACTTTCTCTTTCTCCCATATTTATATATCTTTCTTATATTCCTTAATGGGTGTTTTTGTTATAAATATTGAATGGTTAATAAATAATATTATCATTGCATTTGCTTTCGTTTTGAGTTTTTTTTTATATTTGTGTGTTTTAATGAAGAAACATATAATAAAAATAATGAATATAAATAATGAAAATTAAAAAGTTTCTTAATGGTTTCCAACAAGACCTCTCTGATTCTCATTAAGAAGGATTTCTACAAGGCGATATACAAACATTATTATTTATTATTAATATTATTATTAATAATAATAAGTTAATAATTTCCTATAACTATTTTCAAACTATAAATTTTTTTTATTTCGTATTCCACAGCTATTGAAGTAAATTAAATATAACAACATTTGTTAGAATCACAATAGCTCTAAAAATTAAGGTACAGCATTACGTATAAAACATTGATATCACCAACACACGTATGTTGTAATTATCACCAACGTTTAATGTAAATGGTTATGGACCCTACACACACCACAACAAACACACACGCACTCGATTAAATAACATATCTGATTACACGCTACACAACAGAAACACAAGTATATGTGTGAAAGTTCCACATAAATCTCCACTGCTGGTGCTATATATGTGCGTGCATGCATGATCAGTCAACCAAAATCAAATAAACAATTAAACAAAGGGTTCAAAGATGAACATCGTGTGTGTGTGTCTGTGTTTATGTGTGTAAATATTTGTGTGAGTCTACTATTCGTTTATCTGAACGCGAATCAGATTTATTCAAAATTGGTTTTTTTGAGAAATTTGATAAAGTTTATCGAAAATTAAAATTCTTTCAGCTCCTGTCTTTTAATTCCTGTGGTAAAACAGAAGAACAGAACCCGAAGTAACGCGTTAAATGGTATTTTCAACAAAGGAAAATTGAATAAAATGATTAAAGCGTTAGATAATTTTAACTTCTACCAGAAATTTTTTTCAAATAATAATCAAGGAGGGAGTTAAATTTATTTTTTTGAAGAAAGAAATCTGATTAACTGTTTCACAATCACAAATTTTATACTTTTAATATGCCGTGAATGCACGTGAAATGTGTATAGTGCGTGTGTGTTTTTGTACGTGTGTGTGTGAGTGTGTGTATGTGCGTCTCTCTCTCTCTCTCTCTCTCTGTCTATGTGTGTGCTATATTTTTGTATGTGGTGGGTCACCCAAACGATCATTATGTCGTTATATATGATGTAGGTCAAATGTTTGACAAGCTTCAATTACATCTGATTATTAAAAATTATAATATAACTTTAATAAACTGATACAATTATAATATAATATATGCATAATAAGAATTAATTATAATATTATCATAATATAATATGTACGTGAATATCAGCTATGTACACTTTATCCTTCTCCGTGACAAATCATTTTGATATATAGATTGATTGAATGGTTTTTCTGTTATGTACATGATCCGAGAGATGATTTTAAATTGATTTAAAAAAAAATTTCAATTATTATCTATAATAGATATGTAAAAGATATAGATAGGCAATTAACTAGTCAATTATAAACACGAGCGGCACGATGGTGTAGCGGTAAAGCGCCTGCCACTGTAGTAGTCCATCAGTGGTGATCGGATTCTACTGCAAACAGATCCCCACCTATGACATGCAATGTGTGTGACGCGTTGTTTCGCTTGTATCTATCTACATGCACTGCGCGTTTGTTGTTGGTGCCTCTGAATTATATCGAAAAAAGAAATGTAACCAAATAAATAAATAAACCAACAAATAAATAAAAATATGGAATAATTATAGACAACAATATACATTTAAAGTTACATGGAGATAAATTCAAAATGAAAAATAACGATAATATTGCGAGCGTCAACCTAACACATATACACACACGCGGATCACAAAGCCCCGGTTTATAAACATACAATACAATACAGATACAACACAATACAATACAGATACAACACAATACAATACAATACAAAACAATACAATAAAGATACAATACAATACACACACACACACATCACGAATATGCACTGGCAACAGGTCACTTAATGAAACTGAACTATTTGCTAATGTAACTAATCGTTTATTCCAGTTGCTTGCATCATGATTAGAAAGAAATTCATTCGGTCAAAGTTAATAAGAATAAAAAATCAAGTCATCTCCCCCTCTCTCCATTTCTCTCTCTTTCTTTCTAACACACAAACACCCACATAAAAATCTCCAGTTTCATTAACAAACGATAAAACGTTTGAATTTGATTTAAAAGAATTTGGGGAAATAAAATAAATTCACTATAGAACCAAGAGGACCATATGTGAAAATTGGTAAATAAGTTCAATATCTGTATGTAAATAGTTTTCAATCATTAATATGTATACATAGATGATACACTAATTCGCATGTAGGGGGTCATAAATATGAAATAGAGATTCATAAATATGCATGTAGGGTTCATTAATATGCATGAAGTGGTAGGTAGGTTAATTAATATTCATGAGTTGCAACAGAACTTCTTCTCGAGTATGGTTGATTGGAGGTTGGTGGTGGGCAGTGCGGTCGTCTGACCGATGTTTACGTTCGAGAAATGTCGGTCGGCCACTCTTTTGTAGACCTCTGCAGTGAGTGAGTGAGTGAGTGAGTGAAGGATTGGATGAATGTATATGTAAATAAATAAATGATTGAATGTGTAAATGAATGAGTGAATGATGAATGAGCAAAAGAATGAATGAATGTATGAATGAATGTATGCATGTATGAACATAAATGGATGTATGAATGAATGAATGTATGTATGTATGAATATGAGTAAATGAATGAATGAATGAATAAATAAATGGATGGATGAATGAATGGATAAATGAATGTGTAGATAAGTGAACGAATGAAAGAAAGAAAATGAAAGAACCTTTGGGAATAAATGAGTGAGTGTGAGTGAGCGAACGAATGAAAGAACGAATTTGTGAGTTCGTGAGAACAAGTGACTGAGTAAGAAAGAAGGAATGCAAGCGTTTGAGTGAAATCGTGTCTATGGGGTTAGTGAAATCTGTAGCGGTTGAAATGACGACGATGAATCGGTGATGAAACAATCATGAAGCCAAACAATCTCAACAACCCCAAGCCAACACTCACCATTAAGGCACTGCTGGAATGCGTGTTCGACATTTGTGGAGTCCAGGGCAGACGTTTCAATGAATATCAGGTTGTTACGATCTGTTGTTACCATATTCATGTTTAGATTTACATTTAGGCGCCTATTTGATACCAGGCTAGTTTTTTTTTATTTTTAACGAAGGCTTGGATATGTTCGCCTGGACTTAGTTGTGGTGTGTTGGAATTCGAAAGCGTCTCTGGTCCGGATGATATAAATTAAAATACGGATAACATCCGTTGTAATCCGCAAATGCCCACTTTGATGGGATCTAAATAAGCGAGGGCTGAACATTAACATTTGCCTCCACATATCCAAAAAATTATCAATAACTGTTGATAATTTTTTGTTGCAATTTCCGCCACACTTTCTCACGCACAATTCCTACATGCACTCGCTTTTTTATTTCATCAGTTTGAATATTATAATATCAAAATTAAATATCAAATTAAAATTAAATTTTCCTCGAACTATAATTTAACCAGAATTTGTGTTAAAGAGGTGACAACAAAATTCCCTGGCGGGTGAAAACAAAACTAGAACAGCAAGGTGAATGTCACCACATGCTACTGGCATGATGGCTAGCGACCTAATTAACATGCACACGTAGTGTTATGTATACTGTTTTTAGGAGATTGAATGAAGAACTTTGATTTTAATTTCAGAAGAGCATGTAAAAACTTAAGTACCCAAGTACTTTAAGTACCATACATTACAAACACACGACAAGTGTTCACACACAGACACATACACATACAAATACATACATACATAAATACATACATAAATATATTGATATACACGTACATATACATACTTACACATACATATACAAATATACATGCACATATGCATACAACATACATACACGTACAAATACATACAGACACAGACACACACACAACACACACACATACACGTACAAATACACACAGACAGACAGATAGACAGACACACACACACACAAACACACACACACACAGACACACACACAGACATACCAGCGTATTCAGCGGCATCTTCGGACATGACTGCCCTCAAGTGACGTAAATCAGTTTTGTTTCCGACCAGCAATACGACGATGTTGTCGTCAGCGTGGTCACGCAACTCTTTCAACCACCTATCAAGGTAGCGATTGATTGGTTGGTTGAAAAGTTCATTGATTGAAAAATTAATTAGATTTATTAAAAAGATTAATTAATTGATAGAATGATTAATTTAAGGATCGATTGAATGATTTTCTAGTGGTTAAATGATTAGTTTGAAAAGATTAATTAAACAATACTTGTTTAGCGAAACTAAACGGTTGAAAATTTATTAGACTAATCGAGTGTACGACTGTTGGATTGATTGAGTGAGCGTGCGATTGACATAATAATTGATTGACAACGCAAAAAATCTAATCAACAGTGACTCTGTTTGGATTAACTCTCATAAAGTTTCATACAAATAATAACAACATAAAATTTCGTTTATTCGTTCACTGAGCCAACCAACTGACCAACCAACCTGCCAGCCAACCAACCTGCCAAACCAACTAGCCAGCCAACCGAACGACCGATCAACCAGCCAACCAACCAACCAACCAACCGACCAACCGACCGACCGACCTATCAATGTTCTCGAATGTGGCATGTTTAGCGATATCATACACCAACATCGCTCCCACGGCTCCTCTGTAGTACCTGGTATGCCATGTTGAATATATTATGCTAATTAAATTAGTGAGTTATAGTCAATGTATATCAACCGCGAAAATCCTGTTTAATTTCAATACAGTACAGATAATAAATAAATCGCACACCCTGCATAAATTATGTTAATTAACAACACGTTAGTAATAATAATAAATACTTATGACTAGCATAGATAATATCATTGAATTAATAAATCGGCTTATCATTTGCATAAATAATGTTAATTTTCAGGTACTAACGCGCTGGTGATGGCTCTGAACCTTTCCTGGCCTGCCGTGTCCCAAATCTGAGCCTTCAACTTTTTCCCTTCCACAACAATGCTCCTGATGACGATGGTGGTGATGATTTCCTCAACTTGTTGTTAGCAGCCACCAAATTACATCACATAACATCTCATCACATCACATCACGTCACATCTCATCACTTCCAACCTTGTTGCAAACTCAACTCCAATGGTACTCTTACTCTCCAGGTTGAACTCATTCCGCGTGAATCTGGACAACAGATTGGACTTGCCCACTCCAGAGTCACCAATTAGGACAACTGCCAGTGGAAAATAATTCAAATTTAGGGTCCCTAGATGTAATGGTTAAAGTGTTTGGTCCGCTTTTGTAGCAACCAAATTGGAATGCAAAGAGATCATCATGAATTCATTTCAAAGTGAAGGGATGGTGTAATAAGTAAGGTGTCTGTTTCTCATGTAGTAGTGACTGGATTTGAACACAAAGAGATATTTAAGTAATTAATACATGTATGTATTGATGTATACATCTATACATAATACATATATAGAAGTATTCTATAGAATACCTATACATATATATGTATCTATATATTATATAAATATTCTATAATCTACCTTTCTATATATAAATATCTAATCTATTTATTCTATTCTGTAGAATTTCTAGGCAGGGTCTATTTATTTATATTTCTGTATTAATTAATCAATCAATCAATCTTCGTTTAGCGTCCAGAGACCCATTTTCTTGATGTAGGACGTTCATACTAACTAACTTTTAAAAAGGTAATCATATTCTTCAGGTCCTTGGAAAGACATTCTGTTGTAAACCACTTCCTAATTCACTAACGTCCCCTAACCAAAATTCTATTTTATAAAAATATAAATAAAGATTTATTTTCTAAATTAATTTTTAAGTTTTTAAGTTTTTTAAGTTTTCACTTCACTCTTCAGCTGTCAGAACTGTCAGAAGTTGTTTGAAAGTTTGTGAAATTTAAATGATGAATTTAAATAAGAACACTCCCAATTTAAAATTATTTTGAAATAGTTATTCAGAATATCTCGTAAAATGAATGATTAAAATCATATTAATCAACAGTTTACTCAACAATTTTAAAGTGTTTTTTTTTTGCATAATTATCAATCGATAATATGCATAATCATCTCAGGTGTAACAAAAAAAATTAAATTGTAAGGCGCTCAACTTAAAAATTTGAAAAGTTTTTCCCAAAATCACAGAACACTATCATAATATAAAATTTTCTTAATTTAAATAAAATATGTACTGCCTTCAAATGATATTTCTTTTGTCTGTTAACATGAAAACATTTTTTATTGCTTTACTGTCCAAAAAAGTTAAACGGTTGGTTGTCGGAGATATATACCTACAGATTACTATAGTAAAATCAATATTTTATTTTCCATGCTTAAACCCAGGGATTTATATATATATATATATATATATATATATATAATATGTTCATTATATTATTATGATAATTTTTTATTTTATTACTATTTTATATTATATTATATAATATATTAAACCTCCTTACTCCGTTATTCATTATTCAAGTCTTGCCTGTTGTGATAGTTCCTGCGTCTATCAGAATATGGTGATCTATGAAGAATATAAATGATAAATATAATTCTTATATAAATTTTAAATGTTAATTTTATTCTAATTATGTTTATGGTAATATATGCGTATTGTCAACTGCCATGAATACTTATTTCAAGAATTGAACTATAAACACTCTTTTGCTAAATCTGCATTTGCTTTTTCTGGCTCTGTTCTCTGGAACTCTGACTACTTCTCCATCACTTTAAAAGCTCAGAGCGGATCTCAAAACCCATCTGTTTGCAAAATTCATTGAGGAGCGCTGTTGAACTTAGCGGAAATAGCACTTTATAAACTGATTGATTGAATTCTACTTGGAGTTTACTCGATAGCATTTAAGACTTATCATTAAGTACATTGTGTATAAATATATTCATGTAGGTACTCATAGTAAACCCGTCTGCCACTTGGCGACTTATGATTATGGATTGGATTAGGGAATGCTGATTTTTTTGAAAAAAAAAACACAAATTCGATATTTTATTCATTCAACTAAATTTTGAAAAATTAAATTAATTTAAAAAGTTAATTTGTCTCAACAGTACGAGTTTGACGATAATCACCAATCCAGAGTTTCTTAATTTTTCGATTAAAAATGAAAATAATAAATTTTGGCTTATGGTCTCGGCAAATTGAAACATGGAAATATAAAGATAAAACAAACTAAAGATGGTTTAGATTAAAATAAACTCATAAAACTTATAAAAATATTCTTCAATGTTAATTAGAAAAATTATCTAAATGCTCATGATGAACAGCAGGATTTTTTATTCGAGTCGGTCGGTTGTACAGTCAAGGCTGGCAGTGTACTGGACTGCAAGATGTCCGAGCTAACAGCTCCATTATTTGTAACCTTTGTGTAAATTTCTGAATGGGGGATAGATGGATGTAGAAAACGAAAAATAAAATTTTTTGTCAACAGTTCAAAAATTACTTCGCCTTAACTATCTTAAATTATTAAAATTGGAAGGAGCAAAAACAGTTTCCAGTTCAAATTTTTAAAAATTTACAGAGATTTTGCTTAATTTATGCTAAGTCCTGGCTAAATTTTATATTGGAGGGTGGGCTTCAATCCTAAAGCCCCACCAAGGACTACACCTCTGACACAACCAAAAATGAACAGAAACAAAAGTACCGTGAATACACTGTCGGAAAGCTTGTTCAACATTCGAGCAATCCAGTGCTGAGGTTTCTATGAATGTCATGTTGTTGTCGTCTGCGCGTTGGAAGTTACGCTTTTTTATTATTTTATTAAATTCAATTAATCTCTCCTCTTTTTCTGAATCACTAAAATTTTCAAAAAATTCTTTGCGAGTTAGTTAACAATGCATCACATGCACACGTGCCTGCGTATTCAGCGGCCTCTTCCGACGAAACTTCTCTCAAATGACGTAAATCCGTTTTATTGCCAACCAACATTACGATGACGTCGTCGCTCACGTGACTTCTCAACTCTCTCAACCATCTTGGATATTTATTGAATTAAAAAACTCGAATAATAATTACATTGATTAATTAACTATTTAATTGAATTAATAATCGATGACGATAATGAATACGTAAACGGCTGGTTAATTGAATATTTAATTTTTGAATTTATTAGTTCCTGTTAAGACTAACGTATCAGCATTTCGGAATGTGTTGTAATGGAAATATCAT